GCCTTTTGTTCCTTATGAACTTGCAAGTGTCAAGAGTTTTGAATGAAGTTGACCCATATGAAGTGCTACTCATTGGTTTGGCTAGCATGAATGAAAGTCAACCGGTTCAACCTGGGGCAAAGAAGACTATTGTTGCCTTTAAAGAAAGTGTGAAGTAAAACGCTGTCCTCAAGCAATTTAGCCACAGTTGCTTTAAAATCAAGTGCCTCTTACCCATGAATGGCCCGGAGAAACTTTCGCTGATGAGTTCGAACCTTGGCAGCGTCCACTCGGTTGACTAGCTTTGTATATTTGTAGATAAGCCAGGTTTCACGAAGTACGTTTGCGGCGTAATTTTTGACCTGGAATGTAAATGCCGGTTACAAACGAATCAGGTTTTATGTACAAAGTGGATAACTGTTTAATTTTTCATTGATATACAGCTTCCAAACTACATGCGAGTATGTTTTTAAGCGAATGAAAAAGGGATCAATAGGCTGTCCGCTTTGTGACACAGTTAGCCAACAGAACCTTGTGGGGTTTATCACATATGCGCGGCAAAATGGGTCGTGTTACCCGCTGGCTAAAGGGTGTACTCCGCTGAAGTGAAAAGCATATATTAGGTGTACAGTGATTTATGTTTTTTTCATGGACTGGCTGATTTTGTTGATTCCCCTGCGTCAGGTAATAATCATTAGTTTACGGAAAACTGAAAACGTAAACATCTTTGTAAACATCTTTGCGTCATTCACGGCCTGGAGCAACATCTCGTGTACTTTTAGACTGAACAAGGTCAACCCGCCTGATTCAAACCGTATTTCCGGAACAAGCGAATATATACTGGCGGGATAACCACAAACGGACTGAGCGATTTGGGGTAACGAGGTGGAAGTTTCTCTGTCGGTGATTGAATAGCCGCCAAATATAGTCCATCATTTTGCTCTACCATCGTTTTTCCTGTTCGCTCGATGAGCAGCCAAGTTAAATGGAAATCTAGTTTTAGGCTAATCTGCGAGGAACCAGAGAATCCTGGTTCAAATTTATACTCGATCTGATACGTCAAGAAGTACAGTTTGAATTCGCATGCTGTCTTCAGTGATGGGCTTGAAGTTGGCCTTGATGGAAATGGTCAGGTGAACTGCACAACCGAATATCGCATCGAATTCTTGAATAAACGTGAATGCGAATCGCTGAGCATTAGTTTTGCGTATAATGTAGTCCATGGGGCCCACGGGACAACCAAAGTTATGTTGAACGAAAAAGTCCTAGAATGGGGACCCTGAGGTCACATCGTCATCTGATAAGTTGTGGACCTGTTTGCAACACACATTTATTTGCACACACATTTTGCTTAATTGGGTGTCTCAAGTGAATCCCAATGGGATCTCTCTTCCACGATATCAACTAACTGAATGTGTTGTACGAAGTTCCGTTACGACTGTATTCTAGATATCAAAGTATATCTTCATGAGGAAAAACTACTTAGAGGTATGCCACCACCAGGTAGGTTTTGTTCAACTGAAAATGCCACAAGAAGAAGATTCATCTGGATTCCTTTGAGCCTCATGTTAAAACCGAATTCTTGTGCAAATGAGTGTGCTTTGTGAATGGTGTACAGTTTGGATTCAGGAAAGGTCATAGGACATCAATGCGCTTTTTGTAAAAAAACATGGAAGAAGCTTGTGCCTCTTGAAAGTTGACAGAGGAAAGACCGTCAACTCATTCCTCAAATACAGACCCAACTTACCTCCAGAGAAATGGGCCGGCTAACAGGATCTCCCTGGTAACCAATAGGGTGGAACGTAATCTCAAGCGTTGCGAAGCTCATTCGGACTTCAAATCAAACAAAACAACAGCCGGGGAACCAACTAGTAGGAATGTTCATTCAAATCAACCGTAATCAGTAGTCAACCACTGCTATGTCTTGTCCAATAGTCTGTAACTGATCAGTTAGTGTTTCACTAATAAACAACTCTCACACCGCAGCGTATGGTGTAACAGTAGCGGTACAGAAACGTCACGCCATGCCACATCAAACCAAATGGAAGCATCTCTCCTCCGAGATGCGAGGTTTATATCAGTTTTCTTATTCAGCCGAGCCATTGATTGAGGGATACGTAACCCTGGCTACAAGCCATCTGTGTATAATGCCGACTTCATCGAGGATACTGTAAATGGACAGCACTTTTAGGCAGAAACCGTGGACATTTTTCAGACTTCGAAATCCCCCAAAATAGTCGAATGATCCATTATGAGCCGGACCGAATAATTCGATCAACATAAAGTCACACCGGGTCACCGTTTCTGTCGCTGACATGTCAAGTAAGGTACGATAGATTAGGCTGATGTTTAGTGGCATATATTCCAACATGAAGACTTGTTATGATGTCATGCTGATCTAGATGTCACCAGCACACCCAGTACGATAGGAGAGGTTAAAATGACTCGACGCGGTTTGGTTAGCGAGTAAAACAAGCGATTTAGTAACTTGGTGCCACTTTGACTTTCTTGGCACCGTCAATAAGGGGTTGAGAATCTGGCGTGACAATTCTCTGGTTGCCACATCAATTATGACAACAAGCTGTCGCATCTAGTCCACTGGTGCAACGGTGGACACTACTGATGAGACATGTGAGTAGTATGTGGCCTTCTTGTAACTGCCCCTTGATCTAATGGAAGGTGGGATTTACTGCAGAAGATATAGAACTGCTTCGCAGCATCTTTTTTACGTTTGTGTGATGGTCAATGGATATCCAGGAAAGCTTAAGAAGATGCGTTCAAGAGGAAGACGGATATTTGTTTTTTTTAAGAACAGGGTGTATATGAGAGTTTTACTTTTCTGTCCGATAGTCTGGAACTGTTTAGTTGGTGTTTTATAATAACCCCACGTTGAAGGACTTCCCCCCTTTCACTGGTAGCAGACGGATCAAGTGCCAAATTGACGTCATCTGCGCTGAGTGAAAACTACTGTGAGGCCGAATGACGATTAACTAAATTACATTTCCCATAGGAAAATCGTCACTGGGAGAAAAAATAACGCCACTCGAATTAAACCGAAGCCGAAAACTGTTGTGTGGCTTAATGTTCCATTCTTGTGTTGGAAGTACACAAATCCATAGTATAATCAGTGAAAAATTTCAGTGACTGGGTCGGGAGTGAACGAGCGGCAGCAAAGCTTTAAGGACCCGCTTGAAGGTCCTCAGATGCATTCTGAGGAGTATTGATGAGATTTGAGCACTACAAGACCACGTGGTCAGTTGCAATGAATACCATGACTGGGGGATACATAGTACTATATCCTGTCTAAGCGCGAACTCAACGCAGCAGTTATCATCCACTCGTGGTTAAACGGCTTGGTCCTCAGGTGGTAGCTGGAAGGTTGCACGTTCGTAACTTATTGGTGTTTCGTGTGATAAGGATGAAACAGCTGTACAGCGGCTCCCGGGCCTCCAGCGTAAAATGAACTTACACCCAAGTCAAACCCTTGGTTGAAATTTCTAAATCTTCCCGCCCTAGGATCAGACATTCAAAAAAATTAATCAGGTCAAATTCGCCTGATTCCGTCATCGTGGTAAAAAAGAATGCCGGTAATGAGCACCTCCTAACAGAAAGCGAAATGACCTACAGCCGAAAAACAGCACTTCGAAGCCAGCAATGGTCAACTGAACAAATTTCAAACTTGGCATGAAATCACTTCACAAGCGTGCACCAGTGGATCTACACAGATCGCTGTTTGCAAAATTTCCAACTAGTTTGAGCTTATTCTGGACGCGTGTGAAGCCAGCATACTTGATCTCCATGAAGCTGGTTTAGGTTTCTGTAAAAAGTTCACAACAGCAAAAAATGAATACAGTATATCACAGAGCGACCAACAGAGGGCATCAATATACTATTGCTGTTCCGACAGGCCGCGCTTACCGTCATTGGATGTGAATGAACACAGAAGAACGAGATATTTCATCATTGCGAACACAGCCAAGCTAAGTTCATTGTATGAAACCAACCAAGCCAATGGACTACGGAGGATTTACTCTATTGATGAACTCATCAGTTCAGCCACAAATTGGTCCGATCAAAAAGGCTAGTTCTAATGATTCTGGATAACTATACCGCGCAACCTCTATCAAATTTGTTTACTTTTAAACACATCCCTATCCGAAACCACTCGATGAACGAATCGAAGCGTTTGTAAAGATAAATTACGACGGACGGCTTTTTATACACTCCTCCTTTGGTAAAAAGCAGGTCGGAAACCGCGTTTCCCACGCATGCATTCTTCACCAAATACAGCTGTTATACGCCACCGTTTGTATCCGTCAAGTTTAAGATAAAGCTGTCTAATGTAACAATCTACAGATGTTCCCTTTAGCTCGTCTAACACCCGGTATGTGAGTAGAAATTGATAGAATTTAGGTTAGACTAATACATATCTTGTTAACAGATGGTGGGACTCTTACAATAAGACGAAACCGACAGATGACGGTGAGGAGGGACTGGTCCTAAAATTGAGTTTTGCATCATATCATAAATTTGAAATACAATCGCAGTGGGCGAAAAAAGCCAAGGATTAAAGATAGTTATTCGGAGCAAAGAAGAAGCGTTCCGTTAAGATGACGTTTTATCCCACGCGCTAAGTATATTTCTATTCCACTGCTCTACTGAGTAGTTTGGGTTTGCCCGGAAACAAGAACCCCCCATTCAAGTAGCAAAATACTCCTAGCTTACCCGAATTGTTGGCTTCTTGAGGGAAACAAATCCTATTGTAAGCAAAACTTGACACGTTAGCACATATCATTTTCTTTAGACACCCAGCTCACCGTTTTTTATACAGAGCTGTCAAATTAGGATGGTGTTAGGTCATGTTAAACTTCGGGATTGTTCGAACCTAATGTCTGATGACTTTATTACGTGAAGAGTGAATCTTAATAAAATCTATTCGAAATAATATTTCTCGGAGCGGCCATTTAACCAATGGGAAACCCATTGAGTGTTTCTTTTTCGCAGGTGCACAACCACTATCCATAACTTGCCACTGAGCTGCAACAGTCCTTTCGTGTTCACGGTTTCTATCAAAACCTAAGTGTCTTTGTTGGCACTGAGAGTGCCCAACAGTCAACTTTTATGTTTTTTGGCTATGGATTCAGCCAGAACCCAAAGTTCTATTCTATCCTGACCAAGATGGCCATTGAGTGAATATTCCCGATGACTGACTCGTGCAGGAGTATCATTCAGCCAGACTGGGAATCACTCGGTGTAATTGTACAGGCTACGTTTCCTAATTTCGACCTCATTGGCTTACCTAAACTTAGACAAGGGTTCTAGCTGTTCGTCATCCAGGAATAAAAATCCCGTCCCCGTGGTTTTTCTTCGCAATGACAGCCAATCAACGGACACCCTGTGGTGCCCTCTTGATAGCTAGCTGTTTTACAGTTATAACCTCTGCATCGATGGTTGAAACGACACGGTTAATCATATTTTCAACTCAAAGCCACAAACCCATCCGAGGAATCCGCATTACTATAAGTGGCAACCAACATGGTGTCACACTCATATTATACAACCACGTCACACGTCCGAACGTTCGGTTCTCGTCAAGATACATGCACCAGCTTTATAGAAGTTTGACTTTTTATGATGAAAACTCTGATATTTTGCACCAAACATGAAGCGACCAGAGGCGTGGGAATTCAATTGTTTTCACACGAGTAGGCTATGAATAAGCAAATGAATCAACTCAGTCTTGTGGACAGAAAATGAGAATTCGGTTACATTGAGATGGCACAAAAGTGAACGCAGAATTGTCAATGTCACTTTTAGATTGTCGTGAGATAACACTCTTTTCCGGTCGACTGTCCATTTACAATCGGGTAGCTCATTTGTTAGATTGGAGAGAATCAAAATTGTCCGGATTGTCGGGCTCAACTATTCTGTTCCCGCAGAACGTGTGGGAGTTTTACATTTTGTTCTGGGATGTCTTGGGCTTGAAAGATCGGCTGGGAATTACTCTCAATTCTCAGTGCAATTACGAATGTCTAAACAAGGATTTATAGTCTTCACTTTGCGAGTGTTTTCACCTATCACGATTTTGGGGAGCTTGGATGAAAGTAACATGCAGTGTTTCTGAAATTGTCTTCGGAGCTCTCTGCTGAAGATAAAGTATATGTTGAAAATTTCCAATGCATCGTTTCCAACTAATTAGAATACGCAAGGTCACACTGGTAATGTGTCGAAATACTGGTAGCTCGGGTGAGTTTTTGGTTGTTGATCAGGCGGCTGTTGATGTGTTCGCCGAGCTTGGCAACTGACCTGCAAAAGTTTCGTCACCATACGAGGAGTAAAGAAGATCTCCACTAGAATATATGAACATGATAAAATTTCTTACACCTCCGTGCACGAAGATCAGGGAAGACACCAATTTTATTGCAGCGGCGTTCGTATATTGACTTAAACGGGAGCATATAAAGAACGCGAATTTACGGATGTGTGGCACTCCACCGCATGAGCTATTAGCAAGCAAATTGAAATCGCTCCCCCTGGTTATCAAGCGAACACAACAACCACGTGGCTCTGAACTGAACAAGCAGCCAGATGAGGAACGTGTTAACGAAGCAAGGGCTCGATCCATACGGACGTGTCAATTATATTGGAGTGGTTGCGCAGCCAATAAAACAAAGACCAAATTAATTAACGGACGCAAGAACACCAGTCACGACAATGAAGAAAATAGGAGTGTGCAGGCTGCCAATCACTCCCTAAAAAGAAAAACCAGGCCACAACGCGATGCAAATCGAGAAAGCGGCCGATCAAAACGGAGGAGGAAGATACCAAAAATGGAAGGCTTCGGGATGACCAATCGACTTAAAAGAATGCGAACCACAACGCAGAATGATTACGAACGGACCAACAAATTCACGATAAACGCTTTCGTCCAACGAGCCAATCACGTTAGGAGACAACAGATTGCCTTTAAACGCTATATAAATGCACTGAGGCGAACAGGATGTACCCACCCACCTGCGCATTAATTATATCTTTCAGTACGGTGACGAAACGTTTGCAGTCAATTGCCAAGCTCAGGGGACATCAATAGGTACCTGATCAACAATCATGCTCACAGTCCATACATAAGAGCAGTTATTCAGCCCATTTTCGTTGTGGCTTTTATTTAGGCTTGTAGAAAAATACTATTTCCAAGCTCGCTAAATTTTAACCCTTATGGATAGAACCAAACGAAATTTGGGGCTGACCACATTGTTTTCACCTATCGACGGTTCTCCTTATGCCTCATTTTTCTAATGAAAGATAACACGTATACATCCTAAAGGAACATTATTTATGCGGTTTGCAAAAATCGGTTCGGGAGAAAATTATCGATTGTGTCCTTCCTTAAGCTCAGGTGGGCTCAGTACCGAAGTTTGTGCCGGTTCTGTGTTCTAATTGAACCTAAATTGGATATGATTAACTAAATGACTTCACCTGAACACCAGCTGAATCTCCTGTTTACGCTATTCTCCAGCTGAGCGGAATATAGGGGACTAAGTCTACCTGGAGACCCCGAAAAAAGGTGAAGCCGATCGTGTGCGTTGACCTTATGAGAAGTGTTCCCTCAGGAGAATGCATTATGGTATCTAAAATATCGTCCCAACCAAAAACCTGAGGCGCCTTGGTGCAACACATACAGCTGGAGATTACCACAAAAAACACAGCCAGTTATTACGCAGTGGAGCCTCTCGTTGGAAGTTTTCTTTTGTTTATATCAACAACCGAAGATAACAGCTTTACTCAGATCGTGGTCGGCGATAAAACCTGTAAAACGTTTGGAGAAATTTGGACGACTGGTGAATTACACCCATTTGCAAAAAAAAATTGGTTTTTATTGAGGACCTAATTACTTCTCTTGTGTTTATTGATGACTTCGTAGCTACCAGTTGCATTTCCCTTTTTGTGCAGCCAGTTATTACGCAGTGGAGCCTCTCGTTGGAAGTTTTCTTTTGTTTATATCAACAACCGAAGATAACAGCTTTACTCAGATCGTGGTCGGCGATAAAACCTGTAAAACGTTTGGAGAAATTTGGACGACTGGTGAATTACACCCATTTTCATGCCAATTTGGTCTCCAGTGGGGACCTAACTACTTCTCTCGTATTTTATGATGACTTCGTAGCTACCAGTTGCACTTCCCTTTTTGTGTCTTGCTTCACTCGATGTGGTATCTTGCTCCCGACAGTCACGTTTGTGCTTTTCCTTACCCCTTAGGTACTTCTGGTTGTGTTTTGTCATGGATCCCCCTGGTCAACCGGATCACTAAGCTCCCAGCCGGTTGTTGCATATCTCCCCTCACTGTTCAGGCACCTTACCAGCCTACTAGCATTCACGATAGATTCCAGCAAGACATCTACAACCAAAGACAAGTAGTTGTCAGCAAATCGCGAAAGGCTAGCGGATGTATGTGTGGCTAAGTGGACACCTGCATGCCATCAATCAATCCGCGAGTAATTTCAACTTCATTTCAATTTTCTTGAATGGAATGAATTGAAGAATTTTAGCATATGTGAGCTCATGATTTCCCCATTATTTCACACGACAGCAACTTCACTTTTTATCCTGCTCCAGAGATTCTGATAAACGTTCATTCATCTGCTGACGGGTTGCCAGATGGCTTTGAAAATGAATATGAATGCGAAATTTCGTTTCATCGAAGACCATAAAATAAGCGACATCATGAATTCGTGTTTCTCACCTTTTTATTCAATTGATTTTCTACCATAAAGTGTATCACGTGTTTTTCCGCTTTGGACAGTTCGAGTTTTCGCGCAAATACGGCAACGATCAAGGCCGTGCATCCGGAACCCTGAAAGAAACGAAACCCCAGGGAATAAGGTGAATTCAAAAATTAAAATCCACTTGATTCTAAGGACCACAATATTCTTCATTATCGCCAGTGGGCATGTGTGCGACTTTCACAGTTTGTCGGCCAAGAATACCTTATACAGAATTCTTCAAATCCTCATCTGTCTTATGCGTGCGACAAGAAGCAGTGGCTGAGTGTTTCTGAAAGCCTTCATAGAATTACTGGGGCCGTAGTTTTGAAAGGTTTGTATCTAGACCGCCGGAATGGTGAGTTGATAAGTTTTGTGTTGGGAAGCGTTGATAAATTTCGAGAAGTGCTGATAAATGTTACTGATTAATTATAGCAAATGTACAGACTCCATAAGTGCAAACGTCTCAACAGGTTTTGTTGAATACCTTTGGGCGAAGAATAGTGACTTTCAGTGACGTGAAACGGAAGCATTGTTTATTTCAACAACTCATGTTTCCAACTCATAGCCAATTACAAAGAGGTGAAAAGAAACGGCTTTTATACACTCCTCTGCATACACATTTGGTTTCCATAGTAGACCTGCTCGGAACCCAGCTTAAGATGTTGTTTCTCAACTGAATGGGCTTCACCAGTCAACCTCTGATTCAGTTGGCACGACAATAGATATCATATTACCTTTTATAGAAGTAATACGCTATTCTTAAAGTTGGTGGAAGGGCTCTGACAGCCCAAGGCCCATTTTGCCCTTTTTGGGGGGTGTTCCCGTTCGTTGGCTGTTGAACAGGTTTCAGCAATCGGAGAGTGGCGTATCACGTAGATAGAACCTCTGTTGCTATTTAACGCACACTTGGAGGACGTTTTACGTTCATATAGTCTTAGATAATTTGCTAAAATCTTTCCGGACTCTGAAATAAATTGCGAAAATGACTTTTCTAAAGGCTTTCAGAAAAATGACAAATATTTTTACTGCAATAGAGTTTTTATTTGTTGAAGATGCAGGAAACTGTCAATGCTTTAAGGACGAGCGAAGTTATATTTTCGACAAATACACCCATTTGCAAATCGGTTTGTTTTTCACGAAAGACTCGGCTGAAGCTCTCTTATATGGTATTATCCAACTGAATGTGCTGCTTACAGGCCGCCTCATGTTTCAGTTGGCACGGTATTCGAGATATCACGGTATATTTTCATAAATAAAACTATTCACAAGGTTTGTAATGCACTACTCATAAGGTTGCTGAAAATCCATCGACAGCCCACGACCGGTTTCCCTTCTTGGGACTCATCAGGGAGGCACAGTCCCCGGATTTCCGTCAACCTTATGTTCTACTTGAAACCAAATTGCCTGAGAACATCATAAACGAGAGATTCAGCTGGCTTCCAGGTAAGTCTCTCGAATTAGTTTTCAGATGAGTGTATATTCGCTATTCACAAGGTTGCTGAAAACTCTTCGACAGCCCATAGCCGGTTCCATCGTTCTTCGGGGCTTATCAGGTAGACGCAGTCCCCAGGTTTTCGTTAAACCTTATGTTCTACTTGAACACAAATCGGACTGTTTTCGAGAAATACACTCATTTGCAAATCAATTCGGTTTTCACGAGAGACTCAACTGAATCTCTCGTTTATGATATTCTACAACTGAATATGCTGCACACAGACCGCCTCATGTTTCAGTTGGTAGGATTTTCGAGATATCGCAGTATGTTTTCATAAGGGAAAATATACACAAGGTCGACCAGTTTTCGGCAATCTTTTGACTAGTTTAGTTTGCGAAAATTCGTATCTTGTTTCATCCCAAGCCAGTAGCGACAACTCTTGCGAAACCGGGTCATTTTGAATGTGCCTCAATGAAAACCATCGCTTTTTGTTCAGGTGATAAGCAACTATTCAGGAATATGTCAAAAATCAACATTCGTTCATGCATTTTGATCTTATCAAGTTGAAAAAAGACAGTTATATCCCGACTATTAGAATTTCGAGACAGATAACTTGTTCACAGTGGCAGCTCAACATCTTTCCTGCCATTCATGTCTGACAACTGCCGAAAACCTGAGAAATTCCTACATGTTCTCTGATAAGCTCACAATCTGTACAGATCGGGGCATTTCGAGATCACGCAATTCATCAGCCAGGAGACTGTGTTGATTCACTTGTGATTCACACCAGCTTTCATAGCTACCGCTCAACATATTTGTAAAGGGCCTACAGATAGGTGTGAGCGATACTCTTTTCTCACTAATGAATATACTGCACTTAGTCACAAAGAAGTCAACTGAAGGACATTAAATCGGAGTGTTCATAGGTTTGATGAACGCAGGTGTATAGATGGAAGCTGCCTTGGAATAACCTGGGGAGTTCTCCATTGTGGAAGTGACAGCCACTTAAGAGGTGTCTGAAATGAATTCGGAAGCTAAAAATCCCAATGCCGATAGTTTACTTCAAATCGATTGGTAAGTACATATTTGTGTGCCAAATAGTGATTCGAAGTAAATTATCGGCATTCTTGTCCCGTATAGCATACTCGCATACCCCTGATTTATCGCCAATATTATAAATGTTGTGGAATATGTGAGACTGGTTCATTGACTGGAACGCGTTAGAGAAACTTTGTCAAACTTCATAAACATTGTTCGCTACCCTGTCTTTTGTTCGTTTGTGTATAAAGCAACGTGCTATGAAGCCACCAGCAAACACCAGCCATCACCAAACCGCGACCAATCTCCTCAGAATAGTCAGAATGTCAGTGACCCCAAACCAGGAGGTGCTTCAGTTAGTCAGAAGCAAGTGACGTGTCCAGGTGTGAGGAC